CTTTTCACGTTCAGGCCGGCCGTTCCGAGAACACCTTCCTATCCGCTACGTCGAAAAACAAAATCTTACAGTCGATTACCCACGACAACTCCAGCTCCAACGCACACAACGAACTCTAAAAACACGCAACAAAACCCTCTACATTCATTCTTACCAAACGAAAAAAAAAAAACACCTGACGCCTGGTTCGAAATCGTCTGCCAGCGCCGCCCAGGAATCCCCCCCCCCCCCCCCCCGCCCGCGCCTGGCTGTGAACAATCCCTCCCTGCTCGCCCAAGCGGAATCCGCATAAAACAGCATTACATTCGGGGCTTTCGAGCGCTCTCGCCGCCATGATCTGGCAGTTGGACGTGGCAGGTGACCCCGATGTGGAAGGCGCGCAATTAAACGAGTATCATGCAGGTTCTTTTCTTTCTCTTGGATGCGAGACGGACGGAGGGGGAGGGAGGGAGAGGGAGAGGGAGAGGGAGAGGGAGAGGGAGAGAGAGGGAGAGGGAGAGAGAGAGAGAGGAGAGAGAGAGAGGGAGAGGGAGAGGGAGAGGGAGAGGGAGAGGGAGAGGGAGAGGGAGAGAGAGAGAGAGACAGAGAGAGAGAGAGAGAGAGAGAGAGAGAGAGAGAGAGAGAGAGAGAGAGAGAGGAGAGAGAGAGAGAGAGAGAGATTCGATCACTGCATTTTACGTGTTTCGAAGCGAAGACCCCCAACAGAGACGAAGAGAGAACAAGAGGAAGATAAAGAAGAGAAAAACAAAGGTCCATCCCGTAAGCCCTCCACAGCAATGCCACAGAAGCAGCAGCAGCAGCAGCAGCAGCGCCTCTCAAACCGCCCCCGTTCCCGAAGCGACTTTCAAGCAGCACCCGACACAACCCGAGCGGCGGCGGCGGGCGACTTTCACGTTCCCTACGCCGCGCCGCGCCGCGCTCCTCCTCGCATTACGAAACGAAATAAAGGCACCGATTTCCCCCGCCCTTTCCCCACCCCTCCTCCCCTCCTCCCCCCTCACCCTACCCCCACAGCGGCCGTCGAGGGGGCAAGCAGGAGGCCCTTGCGTTTCACAGGCGCGCCCCGTCGACCGTGTTGCACGCAGACACAACTTGATGGATCAGGATATTACTCATAAGGCCCGAAGCCGTCCTCCGCCACAAAGGACAGCCATCCCGCCGAATCCAGGTGTCCTATATAAGCTAGGCTATCCACACAAAGGATTCGTTCGCCTGCCCTTCTCCTCCTCCTTCCTCTCCCCCTCCCCTCCTCCCTTCTCCTCTCCCTTCCCTTCCCTTCCCTCCCCCCCCGGCCCGGACCGCCAACGACCCCACTGGGACGGGAGGAATAACCCGGTAGGCCTAAACCGGCATCGACCAGGGGACCCGAAAGCCAGCGTCGCGCGGTACGGACGAGCTGGTGGGCTTTTGCACACACGCACGCACACGTACGCACGCACCTCGCTTCCCTACACAGAAGCACACAGGCTCACACACACGCACACGCACGCACCTCGCTTCCCTACACAGAAGCACACAGGCTCACACACACACGCACACGCACGATCACAAATAAACACGCGGGACTATAAATAGGTTCACTCATACTCATACTCACGCTTGCACTCACCCACTCATGCTTACGCGGACGCACTTACAAGCACTCATCTGTTTACTCAGAGAGAGAGAGAGAGAGAGAGAGAGAGAGAGAGAGAGAGAGAGAGAGAGAGAGAGAGAGAGAGAGAGAGAGAGAGAGAGAGAGGAGAGAGGAGAGAGAGAAGAGAGCAGGGCTCCGTTGGCCTTCTTGGATTAATCAGCATCAGAAAACAAAAGACGGAAGATGAGAGGAGATCCATGAAAGGACGACCAGCGGGAAGGAGGTCAAAAGACACGGGGGAGAGAGAGAGAGAGAGAGAGAGAGAGAGAGAGAGAGAGAGGAGAGAGAGAGAGAGAGAGAGAGAGGAGAGGAGAGAGAGAGAGAGAGAGAGAAGGAGAGAGCGAGGAGAGAGAAGAGAGAAAGTGGTAGAGAGAGGGAGAGGCAGAGAGGAGGAGAGGGAGAAGCAGAGAGAGAGGGAGAGGCAAAGAGGAGAAGGAGAAGCAAAGAGGAGAGAAGGAGAAGGAGAAGCAGCAAAGAGAGAGAGAAAGAAGGAGAGGAAGAGAGAATGAGAAAAGGCAGAGCATTTCCGCATCGCCGAAGGAGCAAGATCATATCCTCCACCCCAGTGCCAGAGGAATGCCATCCTTCCCACCGCGTACGGACGCACTCCCCTGCACTCGCGCAAGCAAGCACTCTCTCTCTCTCTCGCGCGCGCGCCCGCAACCTCGCCAGACGCGCTCACTCGCAGCCGCAAAATGCACGATCCTTTATCAGTGTTTATCGGCATTGCGCACCGAGCCAGGCATTCCCGAACGCTACAGGTCGCTCCGATAACAGCATTGCTTTTTAGACTTGTCATAATGAAGTCACACTATATTTCGCGAGCTGGGCCAAGCTGATCGGCGCATACATACATACATACATACATTATATACATTACATACTTAGATAAAGACATACATACATACATTACATACTTAGATAAAGACATACATACATACACACACATACGATGACGTAACGACGCCTAAAAACACCGTTCTGACTCACTCCTTACGGGTCTTCTTGGGTGACGACTCCCGAGTGAGAAAATGCTGTGAACAAAGCCGTCGAGATGGGGAGGCACACAAGATAGCTCCCCTCCCTTTCCCTCCCCCCTTCTCCCCCATTCAGCCTCCCCTCTCTCTCTCACTCCCCCCATCCCCCTCGTAATCCCCACCTTCCCCCCTTTTTCCCCTCCCCCTCTGCCTCCCCCTTCTCCCCCATTCAGCCTCCCTCTCCCCCCCCCACCCAACCCAATCACCCCCCCCCCCCATCTCACGAACATCGAGCTGCTTCTGTGTAATCCACCAATCCCTTACCCCCCTCCCCCTCCCCCGTCCAACCTCCCAACCCCCCTCCCCCCACCCCGTCCAACCTCCCAACCCCCCCCCTCCCTATCACCTCCACAAACACACACCGTTACTCCGTCACTCCGCCGCCGCAGTCACACTTCGGCGTTTAGCATGGAGTCCGCGCGGGGGAGAGGGGGGGGAGGGGAGGGAGGGGGGTTCCCCACCACCAGACCTTTGGGAGCAGTCAAGCGCTCAACCGCAAAACGTTGCTGCAACCTCCACCTCCTCCTCCTCCTCTTCTTCTTCCTCCTCCTCCTCTCTCTTTCTCCTCCTCTTCTTCTTCCTCCTCTTTTCTCCTCCTCCTCTTTTTCTCTTCCTCCTCGTCTCCTTTTCCTTCTCCTCCTCTTCCTTTTCCTCCTTCCTCTTCCTCCTTCACCTTAATCTTATTCTTATCCTTCCGCTTTTGCTGCAGCGTTTCCCTCTTATTACTATTTATCATCATTACTATCATCAACATCAAAAACATTAATCCCTATCACATCATTCCTCCTCTTCTTCCATTATCACCATCACACCATTCCTCTTCCTCCCTCCCCCCTCCTCCGCCATTCCACCAACACCATAGGCCTACCCCAAGCAACCTCCCCCCTCCCCCCCAAGCGCAGACTCCAGCCCCCACCCCCACCCCACCCCCCCACCCACGGCACGCAAGCAACAGTACGCAGGATGGTGTCACCGCTGACCAATGATGCGGCGGAGGTTGGCAGATTGCAACAGGTGAACTGGCAAGGGGCGGGGAGAGAGGGGAGAGAGGGAGAGAGGGGGGAGGGGGGGGAGAGGAGAGAGGGGAGAGGGAGAGAGAAGAAGGGAGAGAAGGAAGGAAAGAAGGGGGAGAGAGGAGGGAGAGAGAAGGGGGAGAGGGGAGGAGAGAAGAGGGAAGAGGAGGGAGGAGAGGGAGAGAGGGAGAGAGGGAGGGAGAGAGGGAGAGAGGAGGGGCGTGAGGGGGAGAGGGGAGAGGAGGAGTGTGGAGAAGTTGCGTAAGACGGAGCATTGCAGAGAACGTCCCCATCTGGTCGCGACGGGGTAGTGCTCACCTACTGAAATCGGAAAACCAAACCGCACGAGACGAGACGCCAATCGGAAAAAAACGGTAATAATAAATAGATGAACAGGTAAATAAATAAACAAAAAAAATAAAGCACAGAAAAATTACAACAAATACATAAAACGACAACAAAATATAAAACATTCATCAAATATAACTAAATCCAAAAAAAAAAAAAAAAAAAAAAAACGCGTTACACATCAAATCCCTCTCGTACTTGAACCTGGTCGAAGCGTCTCTGAACCCTCGAAAACCAAGAAAGTGAACCCCCTTTCACAGCAAGAGAAAGAGGAACGAGTAAGCAAGCGCCGTCCACATTCTTGCGTCTAAAGTAAGAGAGTTTCCAGCTGCGTAGCCAACCGGAGGGGCTGAGTAAAGTCACAAACCACTGAGTAACGAACGCCGCCGCCCTCACTGAGTAAAAGCTAGCCCGGGGAACTCACAAAAAAAAAATACAGTCCGAGGAAAGTAACAAGCGATGACTGAACAATATGACAAAAGATACGGACTGAAGAACAAGCAATATCCGAATAAAAAACACAAAAGAAAACACACACACACACACACACACACACACACACACACACACACACACACACACACACACACACACACACACACGCCGAGCACGCGTCGAGCAACGAAACCCTTGCCACAGCCCTTCCCTAGGACGGCGGATATGTGAGCACACGCTTTCCAAATCACATGCATTTCCGCTTCACATACGGCAGTTCTCGGGCCCCTCGCGCGTCCACACCAACCCCCCCCCCCCCTCCTCCTCCTCTCCTCCTCCTCCTCCTCCTCCTCCTCCTCCTCCTCCTCCTCCTCCTCCTCCTCCTCCTCCTCCTCCTCCTCCTCCTCCGGGTCGAACGAAGGCGGCGGCAGAGACACCTCGGCGCCCCCGGAGACAGGTGGAGGCGGCCTGACGGAGGGGGGAGCGAGACCTGCCGACGACATCTTGCACAGCAAGCGGCACGTCGGCAGAATGAGCAGATTATGTTTGTCCACAAGGATCAATATTTCGCAAGCCCGTGTGACCTCGCATGCCAACACCTGTGTGTGTGCGGGGTGGGGGGAGGAGGGAGGAGGAATGGAGAGGAGGGAGAAGGGAGGGAGAGAGAGCAAGGAAGAGGGAAGAACTATGGAAGCGGCAGCTGCTAAGCAATCCATCTTGCACTCTCTCTCTCTCTCTCCTCTCGTTTCTCCTCCTTCCTTCCCATTCCCTCGTTCAACATCTTCAATCAAGATCCAATATTCGCAGTCAGTTTCCATTTCCTTCCGCCCCCTCGCCCCCCATAGCCCTCTCCCTTCACAGGTTCTGGTCCGCGACACGGCGCTGCCGGCGGCGATTCCTTTCACCTCAACCCTAGACACTTCTTGCCATCAATCCACTTCACAATTACCCCCCCTCCCCCGCCCCCCTCCGCTCCCGCCGTGAGTGGCGTGACACAGCACTCGCAGCAACCGTAACACGTGAACCAGAAAGCGGCTGCTTAGGCAACACTGCAAGAACTCCCTCCCCCCCCCCCCCTCCTCTCCTTCCTTCCCCTCCTCCGCCCCCGTCGTCACACAAAAAACGAACACACGCCATCGTTCTTCTGGTACACTTATGCCACCCCCTTCCCTCTCTCCAATCCCTCGCGCCCCTCTCCTGCCCCCCTCCCTTCCCCTCCCTCACCTCCTACTTTCCTCAAATCCTCCTAAACCCCGTCTAGACGTCCTCCACGGCCAGGCGCTGCAGCCGTCACCAGCGAGCCCTCGCATGCAAATAACGCTTGCAATGGAACACAAGCGCCGCACGGACCGCGGAGGCAGTTCATTGCTTGCAAAGTGGGCAACCCGCTCGCAACCCCTCAGCGCGGCGATGCGCAATCTACCTCACACGCGCGCCTTCTACCCTCGGGAAGGACGCGGCGGGCCGTTGGGTGCGTCCGTCGGAATGCGTCGGTGGATGTGCGGGTGCGTCTGGTGCGTGCGGTCGGATGTGAAAGGCAGCGCCAATCGCCCGCCAGTCATTAGCGTGTCTCCCGCAGCACCGCACCGCACGCGGCAGGGCCCTCCGACGCACGCTCCAGGTACCGAGAGGCCTTCCGTCGCACGAGCAGGGTACGGAGCCCAGAGACAGGTCCTCGAAGGGAGTCAAAGCCCTACTAGGCCTATGGACGCAAAGACGCCCCCTCGACGCGGAGGAACAGGGCCGCAAGACTCAAACGTCGAGAGGCAACTGAAGATGCCGCCTGAGAAATTACTTTTTTCTCGGCCACTGGCAGAAGCGAGAGACCAACAGATATCAATTAAACAATCTCGGCGCCGCTCGGCAGAATTCCTTCGGTCCCCGCACCTCCTCTCCTCTCCTCTCCTCTCCTCCCTCTCCTCCTCCTCCTTCCTCTCTCCTCTCCTCCCTCCTCTCCTCCTAACGACGGGGGCAGGGCAGTCAGTCGCCAGGCGGAGTCGGTGCTGGTGCCCTTATCGCAATCGTTTCTCGGAATTAAAAACCGCCCCGATACAGGACTCTGCCGCCGCCCTCACCTTCCCAACGACCTTTGTCCTCTCCACCTCTCTTCCTTCCTTCCTTATTTCCTTCTTTTGTTATTTCCATATTCCTTTTTCTTTATTTTCCTTTTTTTCTTCCGTCCTCCTTTCATTCTCTCTCTCTCTCTCTCTCTCTCTCTCTCTCTCTCTCTCTCTCTCTCTCTCTCTCTCTCTCTCTCTCTCTCTCTCTCCACCATTTATCATCGCCCATCTTAGCCCTTCCTTCCGCCCGATAATTAAACCAGATTCCTTATCAGTTTCATGTTTCTACCATTCTTTTCTTCTTCCGTTCTTCCATGCCTCATACCTACTTACCTCCCAACCGAACTACCCACCCACCAAACTATGCCAAGTCATGTTACGTCAAGCTAACTCAAGTCAAGTCAAGTCAAGTCAAGTCACGCTAACCCCCCCCCCCCCCCCCTCTCCACCTGCCTCCCTTGGAAGCGCCCTTTTTTAAATGGCGCAAGGCAAGAGGGAACGAGAGACTGCACGGCCTGTTATCGCCGAAGGAAGTGACTCGAGATAAGCGTTATCGAGTACGGGGGCTTGCCTGCTCCACTCCCTCCCTCTCTCCGCTCGCTTCCTTCCTCACTCCCTCCCTTCTTCTCTTCCATCCCCCTCTGTTTCTCCTCATCGTCCACGACTTTCCTTTACCTTCTTACTACCTTTTTTCTCTCACCCACCAACCTACCCCACTCACTTAGTCACTTACTTATTCACTCATTCATCTTCCGTTTCCCTTCCCAACTCCCTTACCTCCCTCCCTCCCTTGCCCCTCCCTTGCCCCCTCCCTTCCTCCTCCCTCCCTCCCTCCCTCCTCGCCCTCACCCCGAGTCCGACGTCGCGTCCGTCCCGAGGCCGCGCGCGGCGTCCCCGTAAGTGGGTTAACGTTTACTGCAAAAGGTGAAAGTTATCGAGGTGAACATAATTACGCGTTGTTTCGCCGACACGCCCACGCCCCACGCGTCACCCGCCCGCCTTGCCCGCCTTGCCCACGCCCCAGAAAGGCTAGCAACGGGCTTGCGGGCGGGATACTCAGAAGAGAGAAAGAGAGAGAGAGAGGGAGAGAGGGAGAGAGAGCAGGGGGCAGGAGAGGGAGAGGGAGGGGCAGGGAGGCAGGCAAGCGCGGCCGGGCCATCATCATCATCTATGCTTTGCTTGCGTGTAGGACCTGCTGACCCCGAAAGGTCAGCGGGGCGAGCGTGGGATGACACATACCCGATCCCATCCCTTCCCTCAACCCCCCTACCCTCACCCTCACCCCCCAAACATCCACTACACCCCCAACTCCCCCCCACCCGCCCCCACACCCGTCTCTCTCTCGCCCTCCCTGCAGAAGATTAGCGCGGGCTCACTCGATCCGATAACGTCGTCCCACCGTTTAAATGCCCCCCCCCTCTTCCTCCATGCCCTCCCCTCCCCTCGCCTCCTCCTCCGCTACCCCAACGCCCCCTCCCCTCCCCCTCCCCTCCTCCTCCTCCTCCGCCACCCCAACGCCTCCCCTCCCAATCCCCAATCACGGCTCTTCCTCGACCCCTACTTCGTACTCCTTGCCCTATTTTTCTTTTTCTTTTCGATACCCCCTACCTTCCCCCGTCCCCCCCTCCCTACTCCCATTCCCCCCCCTTCCTTCCGTCCTCCCGTATCCCTACCCCTTCCCTTTCCCCTCACCCTCTTCCTGCCCCTCTCCCCTCCCCCAATCCGATCCCTACGCCCCCACCCACTCCCTTTCCCCCCCCCTCCCAGCCTGGTTCCCCTCGAGCCCTCCTCCCCCCCCCCCTAACCGCCCGGAGTACAGCAACAGGAAAAAGTGCACCTGGTTAACCCGAGCTCCAGTTCGTCAGCGGTCACGATTCCGGCGCACTTATGCAAACACATTGGAGTGTGGGAGTGGGAGTGGGAGTGGAGTGGGAGTGGAGTGGGAGTGGGAGTGGGGGTGGGAGTGGGAGTGGGAGTGGGAGTGGAGTGGGAGTGGGAGTGGGGGTGGGGGGGGGGGGGGGTGGAGTGGTGGAGTGGGAGTGAAGTAGGAGTGGGAGGGTGGGAATGGGTATGGGTGAGTGCGATTATGAGCGAGTATGTAGCCTATATACTGATGTGTACATTAAATGTTATTTTAAGTAGACTATGGATTTTCTCACGTATGAAGGTATGAAAGTACGTATGCATCCATGTATGGACGCATGGACGTGTTATCTTGCATACACACCCTATGACAGACATATATATCTATCCCTACATCTTGCAAACCAATTTTTCACCATCATTTAAGACCACCTCCGAACCAGGGTCGTCTCACTACACATCCCTTTCTTTCCTCACAGCCCCAACACCCCCTATCCCCTACTCCCTACTCCCCTTACCACCAAGCCACCCGTCCATCACGGAAACTCCCCCTCCTCCTCCCTCCTCCCTCCCCTCTCCCCTCGCCCCTTCTCCCCTCCGCAAACCCGGGCGAGGCGGCGTGAGGAGAGAGAATGAGAGGGAAATGTCAGAGGGGCGAGGCGGTCTGTAGGGAGGAGGTAGAAAGGAAAGAGAGGGAGGGAGGGAGGGAGGGAGGAGGAGGAGGGAGGGAGACAGGGAAGGAGGGAGGGAGGGAGCCCGTGAACGTAAAGAGGGGAGGCGAGTGGCGAGAGTAGAGGTATGGGAAGGGCGAAGAGAGACACAGGAGGAGGAGAAGGGGGACGGAAGGCCGAGGGAGGGGAGACGCCAAAGAGGGGGTTAGAGATAGAGAAAGGGTGACCGAGAAAGGGAAGAGGGAATTGGGGGGCAATGGGGAGGGGGGGGAGGGGAGGAGGGAAGGGGAAGGAGACCCCAGGGAGGAAAGGGGAGCAGGATGCCGAGCCCGCGAAGACAAAACACGACGGCGCGGCTTTGAGGAAATGCTCGCTAATCTATCGGCCTCTCGGCGAGCAGCCCCAATCAAGCCGGCCCGGGGGAGGGGAGGGGGGAGGGGGGATGGAAGGAGAAGAGGGAGTAGGAGGAAGAGGAGAGAGGATGGAAGAGGAAGATGAGGAAGGAGAAAGGAAGGAAGAGGGTGAAAGAGGAGGAAGAAATGAGGGGGGATAAGGGGGAGGAGGAGGAGGAAGAGATGAAGGGGATGGGAGGAGGGAGGAGGAATGTGGGAGAGCAGGAGGAGGAAGGAGGAGGAGACTGCATCCGCCATGTGCTCGAGTACGACCCCGGCCTCGTAATCAACGTCCGGAGTTTTAATCTTCACTTATCAACTTCCTTTCGTTTATTCGCTCGATGACATAAGCCTACATATATAGTCTTTTTAAATATATCAGATAATCAAACAATTACAAACAAACAAACAAACAAACACACACACACACACACACACACACACACACACACACACACACACACACACACACACACACACACACACACACTTCTTCTTCACGAGGCCGCCTGGTGAGTAAGGGGGGGGGGGGAGGGGGAGCCGGTAGCGACTACTTTTTTCCCGCAGCGAAACCGAGCGCTGGCAGTGTTCAGTGTTGCCGGGATAGGGTGCAGGAGCCGACCCTCCACGCTGCTACCGGGCATACGGGCATATGTTACTCGCGCCCCAGCCGGACACTTGGCTACCCTCTCCCCGCCCGCCCCCCCCCCCCCCCTACTACCTAACCCATCCCCCCACCCCTACCTCTCTTAGAGTCACTCCTCCCCTGATCCCATACCCTATGTCCTCCCCTACCTCCCTCCCTCTTGCCCCTCCCCCCTGCCCCACACACACACACTCACTCCACCTCTCCTCCCTCTCTCAACTCTTCCCCTCGTCCTCACTGCTACTCTCGCTTCAGCTCTCACTCTCACTCCTCCCCTCACTCGCCTCTCTTTCCACCTCCCCTATCACTCTTCTATCCACCCTTTCTACTTCTCCTAAACCCCCCTCCCTCGCATTATCCCACCCTTTTCTCCCCCTCTATCTCCCTCTCACCACTACCCTCCTTCCCCACCATATTTCCCCCCTCTATCCCCTCCTCTTCCCTTTCCCTCCTCCCCACCTACACAACACTCCCTACTCCCTCCTGTCCTACACCACCACTCCCTCCTCCTCACTTTACCTTCCCTCCCTTCCCCTCCCACATCCTTTAGGACAGGCTTCACCCTTCACCCTGCCACAACGACACCCAGTGGAGTAGGAGGTGGTAGAGGAAAAAAAGAGGAAGATCAGTAACAAGAGGAGGATAAGGAGGAAGAGGAAGATGAGAAAGAAGCGAGAGACGTGGAGGAAGAGGAGGAGGATTAGCGGCGCATCCTGGTCATCCCAATCAGCTCGCTCCTTCCCATTCCTTCGAGCACCGCCCTCGCGCCCACTTCCTTCCTGCGCCGCGTCCCTCGGGCATCCTACGCACATCCACAGAGGGGAGAGGGAAGGAGAAGGATAATAGGGAAGGGAAGGGAAGAGGAGGGAAGAACAGAGGAGAGGAAGAGGGAGGAAAGGAAAGAGGAGGAAGGAGGAAGAGAAAGAGCCAAAGAAAGAGAAAATAGGTAGAGACCGACCAACAGATAGCAGACACAGCGAGAGGGGAGGAACGGGAGGCGAAGGAGGGATAGCGGTGTGATATTATTAACCTGTGACCTCAGCATGAGACTGATAAACACCCTTCTAACCGGGATCCCTGATGACATATCCATGCGGAGAACAGCTCACCCACGGAGTCGCTGTTACGCCCCTGCCTGCCTGCCTGCCTGCTTGTTTAACTGCCTAACTACCTGCTTGGCTAACTACCTAACTCTTTAACTACCGGCCTGGCTAACTCCCTGACTTCTCCACTTTCTGCCTGCCTACTTGTTTTAACTGCTTAATGCTTCACCACCTGCCTGGCTAACTACCTAATTGCTTCACTGCCTGCCTGCTTGTTAAACTGCCTAACTGCTTAACTACCTGCCCGGCTAACTACCTAACACCTGCCTGGCTAATTACCTAACTGCTTCACTGCCTGCCTGCCTGCCTGCCTGCTTGTTTAACTGCCTGCTTAACTAACTGCCTGGCTAACTTCCTAACTAATGCACTGCTTGCCTTCCTGCCTATTCATCTGCTTGCCTACTTGCCTTCCTGCTTGTCTACTGCTGTTATCTGCCTGCCTAACTTTCGAATTCCCTGCCTAATTGCCTGCCAGCCCGCTAGCCTACTCTTGGCGTAGCAATGTGACTCACCTACACCTTTAACACACTAATCTGGATACCGACTGTGTGACCGAAAAAGGAAGGGTGTGTGTGTGTGTGTGTGTGTGTGTGTGTGTGTGTGTGTGTGTGTGTGTGTGTGTGTGTGTGTGTGTGTGTGTGTGTGTGTGTGAGAAAGAGAAAGAGAGCGAGGAGGAGGCGAGGCTTCCTTCCTGCTAAGAAAGCCATCAATGACCATAAACGAAAACGCAAGAAACGGCTCCGGCGCAAGCCCTCACGCCCCCCCTCCTCCTCCCTCCTCCCCCTCCTCGGCGAATCGCGTCCTCACCACCAACAAACGAGCCACTTCTCCCTCCAGCGCTCTCTTCTAGCCTTCCCCAACCAACTTACTGTGTCTGCACCCTCTCCCCCTCCCCCCCCTTCCTCTTCATTCCCCTCCCCTCCTCCCCTCCCCTAGCCAGGTCACATTACACCCGCCACCAGAGACTCGCACAGCAGCCAATTGTATACCCCTAAAGTTTCACTCAGACACCTAGCCCGCCCGCCCGCCTTCGCCCGCCTTCCCTCCTTGCCTCGGTCCCTCGGTCCCTCGGTCCGGACGCTCGCCAGCAGCTCAACCGCCTGCCGGGGCCCTCCCCCCTCCCCCTCCTCCCAGACAACCCCCTGGGCCCGCGGCTGGATGACGACCGCCTGGAAAACGACTGCCTTCAGCGCCTTCCCCGGCCACTGGAGGAACTCCCGCTCCCGCCGAGGCGCTGCATCACGACTCCACCAACTGTTGATACAGTTGTTGGCAGAGGGCGGGCGGGCGGGCGGA